CCCGGGGGGGGGGGGGGGGATTGGTCAGATGAATTGAACCGAAGGAATGGGGAAGATGAATTCCTCTGTAAGCGGTAGGATTCTGGAGCCAAGCCCAGCAGGAAATACAGAACCTTAATCTTCTAGTCAATAAGCAAACATAATGCTGGCTCATTTAGAGAAACCACATAACCAGCCAGCTGTAGAAATTGGTGGGTGTTTCATACATGCAACTAGATAACAATCGTCTTCAAAAGCCAGATATTTTTAAATGATTACCCAGGAGGTTAAAAAAATGTAGCTACAATACCTCCAGTTCTGTCCTGCACACTATTTCCTTCTTGCTACAAAATGTCCTCAGTCTTTGGGGTTGAATAATGTTGAATGAGGAAATCCTGTGAGTGCAGGGCATCGTGGGCCTGCCCCCTGAGAAAGCAGCACCATGGCACCCTCCACTTATAAATAGTGATGCGGAGAACAGTGCTGACATAATCATCCCTGTGCTACTCTCTGCACCCCTGATGTTCAGCCAGAGAAGATGCAACGAGGAAGAAGATCCTGCACATCACGTTACTGGCCTGAAAACATCTAGAAAAATACTGCCTGGGGGTACATCCATCGTAGGGAGGGGGAAATGCTAGAGTCAGCGGGATGGGTCACTGGTGCAGCCAGCACCAGAGAAGATGCAAAGAGGAAGAAGACACTACACATCACAATATTGGCCTGAAAAAATCTAGAAAAATACTGCCTGGTGGTGTATCCATAGTAGGGAGGGGTAAATCCTGGGGCCAGGAGGATGGACTTCCGGTCAAGCCAGCACCAGAGAAGATGCAAAGAGGAAGAAGATTCTGCACACCACATTACTGGCCTGAAGACATCTAGAAAAATAATGCTTGGGGGTGTATCCAACGTAGGGAGGGGGAAATGCTGGGGTCAGGAGGATGGGCCTCTGGTGCAGCTAGTACTAGAGAAGATGCAAAGAGGAAGAAAACCCTGCACATCATGTTACTGGCCTGAAGACATCTAGAAAAATACTGCTTGGTGGTGTATCCATCGTAGGGAGGGGGAAATGCTGGGGTCAGGAGGATGGGCCTCTGGTGCAGCCAGCACCAGAGAAGATGCAAAGAGGAAGAAGACCCTGCACACCACATTACTGGCCTGAAGACATCCAGAAAAATACTGCTTGGGGGTGCATCCATCGTAGGGAGGGGGAAATGCTGGGGTCAGGAGGATGGGCCTCTGGTCCAGCCAGCACCTGAGAAGATGCAAAGAGAAAGAAGACCTTGTACATCACAGTAGTGGCCTGAAGACATCTAGAAAAATACTGCTTGGTGGGTACACCCATCATAGGGAGGGGGAAATGCTGGGGTCAAGAGGATGGGTCTAGAATTAGACTGCAATTGCACTGACTGCTGAAAAACCTTCGATGACATAACAAGCTGTGTTGCATAAATACTGTAAGTAATTCAGTGGTCTACCTCTTTATGTCCTGAATGATGAAAAATGAAGTTTGATTGGTTGATAAGGGTTTCAGCAGTTTGCAGTGCACAGTGTTCTTGGTCTTACTAGATAAACCCGATATTGTGGCATCCAGATGGGGATTAAAGGACAACTTGTCATATGTGTGTGTATCTATATATATGTGTGTGTGTATCTATATACACTGAGTGGCCAGATTATTATGACCACCCCATCAGTACTTCGTTGGGCCACGAGATGACTTTGTTGGGCCGCCTCGTGACTCCACAAGATGGTGAAAGGTGATGCGAGGAATCTGACACTGCACTGTTGTCTTGTACCAGTCTTGCCACTCTCCGTTCTGCCCTAACATTGACTAGTCGCTGACGGTCACAATTCGCACGTTCAGACCCAGATTTTCGGCTGACAGTCCGGTCTTTAAACACTTTAACAACAGCTGCTCTTGAATATTGAACGAATTGTGCTGTTTTGCTGATACTCGCTCCATGGCTCCGAGCGCCAACAATCATCCCACGTTCAAAGGCTGTTAAATCGCGTTGTTTCCCCGTATCTTCAGAGACAAATCACTTCTACTGTCGTGGTAAACAACCTGCGCCCCTATTTATAATGGTCTGGCCCTCTAGCAACTTCAGCACCAAATTATAGCTAATTATAGCTAATTTGCCTACAAACGTCAGGTGGTCATAATAAACTGGCCACTCAGTGTATATGTGTATCTATATATAGTCCAGGTACTGATGAGATGCCCCGCCTCCTGCAAAGCCCGCACTGTACTGAGACCCGAGCATTCCTTGTGACAGCCGCTGCTTGAGTCAGTGAGAGGCAGCCCCGGAGGCTCAATGACGGCCCAGCCTGCACGGCTTCAGAGGGGCCCAGGGACCACCCAAATTTTCTCGTGGTCCACGGACCACTGGTTGGCGACCGCTGCTCTAAAGAGCCGAAGGAACCAGCTGTAGCTACGGATGATTCTTCGGCTTACTTCGGCCGCCTCTGCACTTCGGTTGGGGGCTGCTGTACGGGCTATTCACTATGGCAGCTAAACCGTGGAGAAAGGTCAGCCGAAGGGCCGACCAATCTCCACGCAAATGACAGCTGGGCGGAGCTGTGATCTCACGGCTGGCTCCGCCCAGTTGTAATGACAGTTCAGCATCCCCAAATGACCTGGGGACTCTGATCTGTCATTAAACAATAACAACTGGGCGATGCCGACCGTGAAATCGCGTCCGGCTCCGCCCAGTTGTTATTCATTGGCCGGGACTTGCTAGAAGACTCTGGCAGGTGCCAGCCAATAGTTTTTCCGCTCCGCCCAATCTTTTTTCTTTTGCTGGCATCTGTCAGATGCTTCATTATGCGGCGGGAGTTCACCACTTGCGGTCGAGTCGGTGCGGAGCGTTTTTTCTTTTTCATTTTTTTTTTCTTTTCTTTCAAATATTTTTATTTATTTTTTCATTTTCCTACTTTTTTACATTTTTAACCACCTCCCGGCCGGCCGTTGTTAAAAAACGGCCGTGATTTACGTTTCTTGTTTTTGGTTTTTGTTCCTAGTAAACTATGTTCCAAGTATATAGTTTAATCATTGTACTATGACTACTCTTTGCTTTACAAAAGCTGGACCTGCACTTGTCTGCACTGCAGACAGACGGGATGCTTGTCCCACAAGGTTTACTTAGAAAGATTTATAGCGCATATTGTTACAATGACCCGATACATATGTCTTTCTATATGCTGCCGAGGTATCCCTATTTTGAATACAATAGTAAAATCTGTGGAAATGCTCGGACTGACATGCACCTTTCTCCTCTGAGTATATTATGATGTGCAATTGTCCCACTTGCAATGTTCTGTAATTTTTTACTTTGT